CTGAACGAGCCTCACTACCGAAGGAGAAACGCAGGAACGCGAGCAACCGCTCCCATCCGCCTACTCGGTCGCCTACGCCCGCCCCCGTCTGATGGTTTACGCATGGCAGCTGGCCGAGAGTTCTCTCGGCGAGTGTCTCTTAGAGAGAACAATCGCACCGCGAACTTCAACAGTCACTAGCTCTAGGGAAAAAAGCGCAGCCAGCCCGGGAGAGTGCCTCCACACGGAGCTTGATAAGGCCTTCTCAAAGCGAGACGAGGATAATATCAAAACATTGGAAGTGAAAACAAAGGGCGACGGAAATCGTCAGAGGGCCTTTGTGAGAGATTCCCACGGAACGGCGCGCTCATTGGGATTTCTAATTCTCACTCAGAGCTGCAACTCCCAAGGATATTCGTTGATACAGAGCTGGATACGCATTACGACTTCCGACACGTACCCCCTCCCATCGTCTTTATCCAATCAGTTAGATCAGTTATTCTCGGAAGACACGAGTTAAACGCGCACCGATTTGCGATAGTTTTTGTCCTGGTCTACGGTCGCTCCTCACGGCGTGCTGTCCTCACATTTTCTCCACTCAACCGTGGTCATATTTAGTTGGCCCGGGTCCTCTGTTGGAATTGATCACCCACGTGTCCCACACACAGGTTCAGCCTTGATGGGTGTTCCCGTCGCAACCCTCGATCGATATTATCGCTGTGGCTTGTGCTCTTATTGTTATCCTTGAGCTATGTTCTAAGTAGGTGGATGCAAATCCACTCGGTGACGTACCGCGTACCGCCAGCCGAGCTCGATGTCTCAGCTCGGCGACTGACGAGTAGGATGACGAGAACGTCGGCGTCATCTCTTGATTCTTGTGTGTTGGATACACTCCTATGACGTGTGCTTTGACCGTCACCGGTTCGATCACCCTGGTCCAAAGGAACGGCCGACCGACCCCTAGCCCAGTGTCGGGCATATGCCTCGACACTCCCTGACGAACAGCCAAACGAAAGCTCGGGGAATCGATCCTCGGATTTGTAAACAGGCCGTGGTCTCCAAGGATTTGTGGTTATGTTGACGACGGCGTCTGTGTCGAGATCGGCATTTTTCTATCCTGACTGTGGTGTCTTCTCCGCATCTTCGTTTGCTCGTCCTCTGGCAACCCAACGATCGGCGAAGAGTGTCAGAACAGACATCTCGAAAGACTCTTCCCGCTTCCATCGGATGTTCCATCCGTTCGACGCTCGTCCGGGGACTGATCTGATGAGTCGCCGGGCTCAATACTCTTGTCTGTTAAGGCGCTAAGCCATTGTCGTCACGGTCGCCGTTGTCGTTCCGACCGCCCCATCGAGCAGGAAGATAGAAAAAGCGGTGCAGAAACTGGGAGGCTTGCTTTTTAGGGGTAATTTCAGCTTTCGAGCCGCGGGCTCTCGAAGAGTAACGGATCACCAAACGGCAGGCAGGCGGCTTCTTCTCAAGCCGACCATGGGACAAGTCGCTTCTCCGTTCGTTCCATCCGCTACACGCGCAGACCCTCCTGCAGACGTCCCATCCGTTCCCGAATCCTCTCGAGCATACTATTGATTCGAAGCGGGGCAACGCCGCCGCCGCCGTTGTCAAAGCAGCGGTGACGGCAGTAGAAGCAGCAGCAGCGACCTCTTTAATGGGAGACAGTTCGTGCGTTTGATGAGTCCCCAACCCTCGACCGGGTCCCGCCCCCTCTTTCTCCCGTCGACCATCCCACAGCATACGAACAGGACCACTGTCGCCGCTACGACCACCACCACGCTGAACCACGTGAAGGAGTAGCTCATTCCGGCCGCCAACGTCCACGAGGAACGTCCCAGAACAACGTAAACAATAACACAGTAGACGACAACGACGACCGAGGGAAGAGTTTGCACAGAACCAGATAGGAGCGCGTTTAATAATTGAGACACTCTGTTGTTTCAAACGCGTCTTTGTTTGTTGTCATGAAGTCGGCGCTCCGGACTTTCAAAGGCCGTCCGTCCGCTCGTCCGCCCGCCCTCGCTGGCTCGCTTCGTTTGTCTTCTCTCATGTCCCTATCTTGCATTAGGGACCGCTTGCTGAACACCTCGCTGCCCGCTCGCCCGCCCGCGCGTGCGTCCGTCGCTTCGAAGTCGTCCCTTTGTCCACCCGCGACCAGAGGGCGGCTTGGATGCTTTGAGCCCTGGAAGCTTCGATGGACGACGGATCGCGACTGTGGGCCCGACTCTCGTACTCAGAATTTCACGACGCTCCGCAAACCACCGATCGCATCGGATTTCGCATGACACCGCACTCGGCCGGAGGATAGGAATTGTGCGCGGGATGCGCTCTGAGTAAACAGCGACATGGACGACGCCAGCTCTGCCGCCTCGCTCTCATGGCCCTGGTCTACAAGTGCTCGCGCAATTTACGAACTTGTGGGATGTGCGTTCCGCGTGCCTTTCCACCGCTTCGCCCTCTTATCTCGATGTCGTTGTAGCAGCCGGAGCGAGTTCCGGAGGAATGGCATCCGAAACGCTCGAATCGCGGGCTCCACGTCACCAGCAAGTCGTTCGTCTGTGATACGCGGAGGCAAACCTCCACGTATGGGAACCGCTCGCGGAAGCTGCGACGGAGGCAGCGATGGCCTTGATGGCGCCGCCTCTTGCCGGACAAGGAGTAAGCAAAGAAGCGCAGCGGCCGACAAGAGGCTCCAGAGTGCGGTACATGTTTCGAACCGCGTGAAGAAGCTTGATATCGGTGAGCGCCTGTCCTTTGTTTGTCCGGTCGACAGGCCGCCCGCTCTCGCGGCAGCAGCAGCAGCGGCGGCGGCGACGGCAACGATCGCCTGACGGACAGGGTGGGTGGGTGAGCGACGGACCGACAAACCGGACACCGAACAGAGTGGCCGACTGGCAGCGGGGTGTCTCCTGGGCTCTCGGTAGCTTGCCCCTCCAAAATTAGCTATTATGGATTCGTTCATCGATCGCGTCTCGAGATCCCGACGGAACGGCGCGGCAGCCCCGGCAGGGACGACGACGGCCTCAGAGAAGGACGGACCGCGAGAGAGTTGAATGGAGCGCTAGATTGTGAAAACCGGGTTGGAGGCAAGGCACGACGAGCTGCCATGACGACTTCGCCTCCCATGTGACCCCGTAGAGAGAAGGGCAAGCGAGCAGCGAACGAACGCTGAGCTCCAGGCAAATGGACAGCTCGGCACCGTGAGGCAGGCGAGCTCGTGGATGCACGGGGACCCCGGCTCGCATTCTCTCGCGGCCTCTTTCCGAGTCATTTGAATCTCGGCAGAGTTTTCTAGCGCGAGGTCTCACCACCATATGAGACTAAACAATCTGCTTTTCAGTTGGCTCAGGAGGAGAACCGTTCTGAGCTGGACTGGCCACCCGCAAGCTCGTCAGACTCCCGTCAGTCTCAAGCGTCGCAAGCGAATCCCTTGTCCGCCCACGGGGCGGGTGACGAAAAAACGCCGCTCGAGCGACCGGACCGTCAGGCAGCGGTCACACCAAGCGGCAGAAGGACGACAGGAAGGGATGTCTGATTGAAGGGGGAAAGGGTCGGACGGAGCGGCCTCGCAACTGGACCAAACCCACATAGGAGCAGCATTCATCTACGCTCGACTCGGAACGCAACTTCCCGGGCGAGCACCCTCGGAATGATTTCTCGAAGTCACATTTTCCCCGCGGCACGTCGGGAAACCAGAGAGCGCAAGGGAAGCTTCGACCAATTCCTCTCCCCGACAAGTTCAGATGAGGCTTTTCCGATCACCTATTAGTATATTTTCCTACTTCCGGCGGAGGCAGCCAATGAGCTTTGCGCTAGTGAATGACAGACTCGACAGCGAGCGAGTAGGCGTTGGCTCCGAGCTTTGAACAATGTTGCGCTCGAATGCCTCGCTCGACATTTTCCCTTTAGCGGGACAATCCCTCCAAACGACAGACTGGGCGCTTTCTCTCGCGTCTGTTTGTCGGAATCTCGCCCCGTACGTATTTTCAGCGTGCGGCTCATACTCTCGTCGCTTGGGTTGTATTCATATTCATGCGAACGTATTCCCTGCGCTGGCTGCCCATCATCCGAGACCAACGTCTCGTAGGACTACTAATGTTCCTTACGTCGGGCGTGCTCTGACCCAATATTCACACACCTCTCGTGGTTTGTTCCTCGTTTCTCGTGGCCGACTTCGTCCTGTGTGCTTCCCGTGGTCGATCTCAGCGGAGCCCGTCTTTCTGTTCCTTCTGATTCAGATCGAGCCTCTCTCCTGGTTTGCCGCCTTTTCCGTGGGCTCGCTTGTGGAAGGATCCCAAGTCCCCGGGTTGGCCCTCTCGGCGAATAGTTTATTCGGCGGGCGATATTACGTTCTACGGCTCGAAATATCCGACGACGAACGTCGCGACGAGGGTCAGATGACAGGGCGACATACCACCGGACCGCAGCCATAGTGCATTCCCGTTGCGGGGACAAAATATTGAGCAGGCTTGAACTGGCGTACGCTGCAGTCGGTTCGAGACCGCTATCGCAGCGAACAAGCTTGCCATCTCGATCCTGCGTTATATCACGCCACGAGATCGAGGTTTTCGAAACATGTCCTAGGACCCCGCATCCTGCGTACTACGACAGAAAAACTTGAGAAATAACTTGCGACTTGGCATCGACCGCGTGGTTTGCATAGACGCTGTTCCGAGGCGGTCTCTCCCTAGAGCGGGACGTGCCCCCTTTCCGAAAATTATCAAGTTGAAACACTAATTTTAAGTGGCGGCGATTTTGATGCAGGATTCTTGCCGAATCTGAATCAGATCGAGGGACATGAATGGCTGTGCCTCTGAATGGACGTGTTCCTCTCCAAGGGATCCCACGCTTGAGGTGGACAAGATACTGTCGAGTTTTTACACCATGAGAAATGGGACGTAGACTTGGAGCATCTTCGCCGAGCTGTACCCACTCTTGATCGTGGCTACTTGGAGCATGCAGGGGTTTGCTCGCGTGTTCACATCCGCTAATGGATGATCATTGCCTACCTGAGTGTCGTTCCACTGGATGGCGAGGGTGTATCCTGGCAAAAATTGGGTGGCGTTGTTAATGTGTTCGAGAGCAAGGTTCACGGCAGGAACCACTCCGCGACCGATGGCACCTTCACTGAGATTGTACGTAGTTGGAAAAAATCCCGCGATATGAAGATCCACACCTTCGGCTCTTCCGGCCAGCACACAAACCGATAAACACAATGTTGCTAGAAGAACGTTGCTCAATCGGCAACGTCGACGACCGCGACTACAAACTCCCGTAAGTCGCTGCTCATGACGCGACGCGGGTCCTCGCCGTCGAGCGGGACAGTTTTCGGTGCCGAAACTGTCGGGATGGTCGATGTGTTCGCTGTATTCGCTGGTGGTGTATTTGTTGTTGTTTTTGTTGTTGTTATTCTTGTGCCGAGAGGGGGGCCTCCCCATGTCCCACGGTAGGGCCATGCGGAGGGGGTCGGAGCCCCTTACACAGTGTTTTACGACCGGCTAATCACATGACTCCGACGAATCGAGCCGACCGAATCGAATGTTGCGTCTGTCAGCCCGGTGGTAAGCTACGCTTTTGCGGCTGCTAATGAAGTTCTTCGTCGTCGTCTGCCGCCGCCTTTTTGACCACCAGTCGCTGGCACAACATAGCATTCAGCAGCGACAGCGGCAATCGTAGCGCTGGTAAAAAAGTGCCTCCGGAACAAAGCCGTACTTTGGCAAGCCCGAAGACGGGCTCGGTTGGAGTCCGCTCATGAAGACAAGCATGTGGACCTTGTATCGCGGCGGCACGCGTCTCGAAACGCATCCAGCAGCGACTCGCGCACGGTTCACTTTCACTCTGCAGCACGTTTAGAACGACTCGATGATTGATCGGATGATTGACCGTCCGATGGATGAAGTGGAGAAACGATTATATGAGCGGGGGCCTGGACCTTCCCCGCCTGATGCCGTCCGGGTGGGAAATTTCCACGGTCCACTCTTAAGCCCCTACGGACCACAACTTGCTGACTAAAGCAAACTCCCGGCTTACGTTTTCTACGGCGGCCGGAGTACGAGCAGCGCACCGCTCCGTGTTCCGCGCGGACTACATGGCTCGCCACGGGGCCCTGCGAGCCTGCCTTCGCAACGCCCTCTGGTAGAGCCACCGCAAACCGATCCTCTCATCCAAGAGAACGCCATCTTTCCCCCTCCGAGGACCCCCATGGTTCGCTGGCAGGCTGGCTGACTGACTGACTGGCCGGACGATCGCCCAAACTCACCCATTCCCCCCCCCCCGCCAAGCCGGTCTGCCTGCCATCCCGCCCCACTTCGCAGCCCTTCAAACTTACCCCTGCCCGATCCAACGCGGCCAGCTCTGGGACCCGAGGGGCCTCCATTGGCGAGTGGGCTACCATGCCTGGTAGTCGTCCCTGACTGTCGTTCTCTCTATTTTTTCACATTGTGTTCTTGTGTCGCTTCCAGCATCCTACCGAAACGGTCCGGTTTTTCCCGGTTGGTTCCCCGTCGGCTGACAAGGGAAAAAACTTCTGCCGGCCTTTTCGAGTGACTGGAAGAATCCACGATAGGAGTCACCGGGACACGATTGGCCCGATAAAGATTTACCAAGGACACGAACGACGCCGCCGATTGCAGCGACTGATCTTCAACCCGCCTCCACACCAAGCAAAGAAAGACGAGTCCCAGAGCAGACGGCGACGTTCCGGATTTTTTATGTACAATACATCTTTATTATTTCATCACGTGATCGCTCGATCCTTGAATACCCATCTTACTACGGTAAGGGCATTTCGCTCCTATTCGTTTCAGATCGGGGCTCCCGGCTCGATGATGCTCATCGGCAAGGCGATGTGAGGTCTAGCATTGCCTTTCAGGTCGGATCTAGAACTCTGTTCGATTCGAGGAGCTATTCTCGACCGAGTCGATTGCCTCGGTCGCGGACTGGCAATTGATGGCGTGTCCCGTTGACTAGCGGGGAGTAGAAATTTTTCCCGGTGTTTCCTGTCTCCCTCGTTTCTGAGTCCTCTTCCGTTGGCAGCGTGTGTCGCAAAATCGGTGTCCGAGTCGCTACCTCGGCAATTAGCGATACGTTCCCTCCGAATGCTCAAATCGCAGTTTGTGGCAACAGTTTGCTTGTGCACCCGTACCTGGCTTCGACCTGCTCTCCATGGTAGTGATAATCAAGGGCAGGTTCCACCATTCCTCGTGAACTCTGCTGCGGCTCGATCCAATCCATTGGGAGGCTCATTTGCGGCTCGGCTTGCAGAACTCGAAAACTGTTTCCCCGACTGCGGCGAACCAGATACAGGACTGCCGCAAATGCTGAAATTACATGGGGAGCGAGACATTTTAGCCTTCATGGACACGAGCCGATCGATAAAATCAAATTCGGTAAATACTCGACGTTCGAGTTTCCGCTCGGTCGACCGTGGCTACGGCCGGAGAACAAACAGATCCGGAGGCACACTCGAAAACGGATCTTCTGCGCTGCGGGATATTCATAAGATATCCGTATTCCATTATCCCCGATGTGAACCACCGACGAAGGGAATCTCTGTTTGCGATTGGATAGGGTGAGTGCGTGTGAGTCGATAACAAGCTCAATACCGATCGATTGATCGGCAATCGACGGGCCATCGGAGCCCGCAGGAGTCTCCGCGACGACGACGTCTAAAAAGAGCAGCTTTGTTTGAATGGCTGATTAGGTATCATGGGGTTTTGTTCCCCAACACATCGCTTATCAGACTGTAAAAACAGCGGAGCGCGGCGTAAGGTCTCACGCTACGAGTGTCTTGCTATGGAGCACATACATAAGTTTCAGATTCGGTCTTCGCTCTGTTAGTCGGCGATACGGAGACTCATACAAGCATCGATGCAGCAGAACGGCACGGTGTGTGTCCGAACGGAAAGAACATCTGAGTTTTCGACTCGGAGAGCGGCCTCGCTGACTGGCTCGAAATGTCTGACGCATTCCAGCTGCGTACCATCATTAAGGCCCGAATCGATGCGCTCAGGATCGAAGGATCGTCTTTCGGGGACGAATTCAACGCTGCCGTGTTCGTCTGTCGGAGCGATTGAGCGGCCGGCCCGCGGGCTGGCTGCTCGCCGCCGACGAGAGCCCCTTGTCTAGCAGTTCGTTCTGAGTTCAGTGTCTTTCGCAAGTCATGGTCAGCATTAGAATGAGCAGGATGAAGCGAAGGGCAGCACCGCGTTTGAGCGGCACGCACGCCGACGCGGGGACGAAATTTTTGTTTCCAGAGAGCAAAGCTCGTTATACAGGGATTAAATGAAGATATGAATACGTTTGAAGAATGTCCTCGCCTGACGCCAACGCGTATGGAGGCTCGAAGAAACATCCAGCCATGGCCATGGACGCACCCCGAGGCCGCTTGTACACGAGGCCACGAGGTTCATGGCGGAGGGGAAAATTGAAGAGGGAAGTTTGACATGCCTATTAGGAGGAAGAGCAATCCCGCTGAAACCACGTGCGGTAAATTGGGAAAGACGCTCGCTGATCCCTTTCCGTGCTCTGTTCCTCCTTGGGGTTCTTCGACACGGCGCTTGCGAGCAGTATCCGGGTCCAGCACCGGAATCCCTCCCACGCTGACGGGCATGCGTCTTGACGGACCTGAGCTCCTACAGAGGCGAAGAGAAAGAAACAAAATTAGACCCTTATCCAACTAATCCATAGTATGAAGCGAGCTCCTTCGACAGGGCATGCGTCCTCGATGCTGAAAGGACCCTGGATTCTCACTTACTTTCTCAGCAATATTGAAGCTTCACTTTCATTCGGCGCCGTCGAAGCCGGCATCAATGCGTGGTGATCTTGAACGATACGGGCGAGAGAAGTTTGGGTTAATCAATTCAACGAAGCGTATGACTCAATAGCTTAGGACGCATTCCCGAAAAAGGCAGTGCCGCTCGGACTCGACCAACTGTCCTATAATTTTTCGTTCCAGCTCAGATCTAGAGGCGCCTCGTGCTGAGAATCCCCGTCCGATATTCGAGAGCATTGCGCACTCTCTACCTAGCCTCGCCGTCGACGATGAGCTTAAATTAGGGGACCGACCTCCGCCGCTTTGCTCAACGATATACTCGTCCCTGAAGTCGTGACTTTAATTGGACGGAGGATCAAAACCGGCTCTGCCAAACTTAGGGGTACATAGTCGACGGAGTTCGCGGAAAAGTACGCAGAGAAAGAGGGTGAGTCGAGCGAACAACAAATTCTCATGATGGAGTTGCTAAGACCGAGTTTAATCTGAAAGAGAAAACTTCTAAACTTTTCTTGCGGTTGGCTGCCGTCGCCACGGCTGCCGGCACCGCGGGGGCTACGAACCTTCTTTCGACTGTGGCGAGGAGTTTGAAGCTCGCGACCTGCAAAAGAAGAAACAGGAAACTTCCTGAGGCGCGGAAAAAACAGGAAATCAAGCCTCTACGTTCTCAGCTCCTTCAATTGCAGTCTCGTGTGGAGGTCTGCTACTCCGAGGACTTGGAACTCAGAATTTTCAGAGAGGGTTGTCTTCGAGGTATCCCAAGCTCATTGCGTGGGGACAACGTGTGGTCTTACCCGTTCGACGAAGCTATCGAAGAATCGTCCGCCGTAGCTGAGCGTCCCGACGTTTTCTCCATTAGAGGAGTCGACGCTTGTGACGGAAGCGTGGCTCCAATCGTCACAATGAATGGGTACCCCCCCGAGAAAGCCTCTGTGGTCATCGGTACAGTCCAGTCGGTCAATCTCTCGGTTGGATCTCTCAGCGGAATCGCCGTCGTCGAATGATGTCGGATGTCTGTTTGAGTGGCGGAACTTTGGGTCGTGGCTTCTGTCAGGTATTGACTTGTCGAGGATATCGATTGAGTTCTCGGAGTTTTTCGAATTGGAGTATTCCCACTCGTAGGCCTAGATTGGCTCGACGTCCCGGAGGCCGGAGTCGCATTGCGAAATTCACTGATCTCGGCACTGGAGTCAGCCTTTGAAGTCGCCTGCGTTGTCGGCGACATCGGAAGCGATGGCGTCGGCGGTGTTGTGCCGATGTCACGTGGCGCGTACGTCGCGGGCTCATTATCTCCGACAAAAACTGGTGTAGTTCGCTCTGTTTTTCCGTCAACGTGATGTACTCTGGGCGGCTTGTCACCGTGAGCTTCTGGAGGTATCTCGAATTCAAAAACTGTAAAGGAGAAAAAGATCATCTGCCCGGCCGTGTCCTGTG